GCAGCTACCACAGCTGATTGAAAACTTTCGTGATGTCAAAAGCAGCGACATGAGCCTCACCGTGTGACTTAATGTCTTTACTCCACAGTTGTTTAAAGTGAGCTAGGAAATTCCCCGTTAATCGCTGGTGCCGGAAACCATTCTGCAAGTCACTAATCCAGCCATGATGATCGAGAGACTCTAGAAGCTTCCTATTTATATACCTTGTTAATAACAGAAAGCAGAGCTTTATGTCTGTAGTTGTAAGGGTCGGTCTGAGATACTGTTTTTGTATAGACTTGACGTGCGCAAAATCCAATTCTCTGGGAAAGCAGCAGATTAGTAAGACATATGTGTATGTAAAAGTCGCTAAAAACTGGAGCAAGCTCCGTTGCACATCTTTAGCAAGAATCAAGTCAGGACCGGCAGCATTATTGATGTCGAGTGACAAGATCACCAGTTTTACGGTCTTATGCATTAAAGGTACTTCCCGCATAGTGTATGGATCCCTTGGAATCGACGACACCCTGGCATTGGGCCATGATGGAGTTTGCACCAACGATTTCGGACTTAGCCTTTGAGTCGATTACAATCGATCCATTCTGGAAGATACTCGGAGGTATGCTACTCTTTGAGTAGTCCCCTTCGATCTGCTTGGCCAGCGTCCAGAAGGCCCGTCTACCACTGCGCTGTGATATTACCCTGTGACTGATGTTTGCATCATGCTGATCCTGGGCATTGCGAACCGCTTCGATATATTCGTTTCTAGACTCGGCATCGAGTTGTCTGTCTTCTACAGTGGGATTTTCTAAGGTTTGGTGTGCCTTGATTTTCTGTCGACGAGCAGTGTCGCACGATTTGTCGGACCAACCATAGACCCTGGTTTTGTCACCTTCACTCCATGTGGGATGTATTTCTCCATCCAAACGTGGATAACTTCAGTTATCGACGAACAGACAGCCGACGCATCCAAGTCAGAAAGATAAACATATCTCTAAGAAAAGCTAAGCCGAGAGACTAGAATTGACTAACTGACACCACAGCACAGCAAGTTCAGGATTAATCCATCAAAATCATTTTTTTCTAATGCAAGCCAGCAGACGACCGACCATTAAAACGAGGCGTTATTCTCGAAATGTGAGAGGAAAACAACATTTATTTCCAAGACAATTTACACTACCAGTCATAACTTATTTTCTGGAAGACAAAATGTAGCGCATTCAATGGTATTTATATGTACTTTGAACGCTTACGTACCTTCTAAGTTATGGGTAGAGGGCCGATTTACCTGTCCCAGGTGAGAAAGGTGAGTAAAAGTCAGACTAACTTACATTGTGATCGCTGGTTTTTATATAAACTTTATAAAACACTATTTCAAAGTGATATCCATCACTGCCATTGGCAAATGGCACGAAACAGCTGCCGAGAGTTGACCGTCTGTAGTGGAACGAACAAAAGCTATATTACTAGTTTATGCAATGGCGGGTAGATCGTATCCACAATAACACCAGAATCGGCGGCATCTACCGGCAACAGTGATGATCCGGCTGACAATGCGAAGTTGGACCAAGCTCCGCTGCACATCTCTTCAGTACAACGGCAGGAATCAAGTCCGGACCAGAAGCTTTGTTGATGTCGAGCGACAAGAGCACTCGTCTTACGGTCTTATGCATAGTGTGGGGAACCCTTTGAATTGACGGCACTTGGGCGTTGGTGGGGACGTCCATGATGGAGTTGGCAGCAAAGATCTTGGCTAGCACTTCCGCCTTGGCCTTTGAGTCGAATACAATAGTTCCATCCTGACACGTAAGTGGTGGAAGGCTACTGTGTGAGAAGTTCTTTTAAATCTGCTTGGCCAGCGTCCAGAAAGACCGACTGCCATTGCGCTTCGACATTACCCTGTGCCTAACTTTTATATCATGCCGGTTTTTGGCATTGCGAACCGCTTCGTTATATTGGTTTCTGGACTCGACGTCGGCTTGTCGGTTCTCTACAGTGGGGTTTTGTAAGTAGGTTCTGTGTGCCTTGATCTTCTGCTGGCGAGCAGTGTCACACGATTTGTTGAACCAGCCGTTGGACCCTGGTTTAGGAACTTTCACTGTGTGAGGGATGTATTCATCCATTCCGACGTGGATAATTTCGGTTATCGAAGAACAGACAGTCGACGCATCCGCTAGAGAAGAAGTCTCTGAGCCCCTCCCAGTCGGCATGTCCGTAGTGCCAAGTTTTGCGGCCTGTACGAGTTTCTTCACCGAGAAGAACTACCTCTGAAGCGGGGTGATTGATGATCAGGAAGTCGATCTGGACGGCGAGGTATTCGAGCAGGTCATCCCAGTTATGGTTCGAGGGAGAGCGATAAAGGCAGCAAATAAATTTGGGTGATGTTTTGGAGTTGAGGCGAAGCCACATAATGTCCTTCCGGTCTGATTCCAAAGAAAGATCCCTGGAGCAGGAAAGACTGCTGCGGACAAAAGCCACAACTCCCCCATTCTTTCTCAGATTGGAGTGCACCTCGTAGTTTGGGAAGTTGAGATGGTTAACCGGAGCACATTCTGAGATTTTTGACTCTGCCAAGAAAAGCCTAGCGGGACAATTAGATTGCAGGTAGTGATGAACAGCATCAATGTTGCTGTTGATCCCGCAGATGATCGAAAAACAAATTTTATCTTCGATGTTGTTCCCTCGAGCCCACCCTCCACCTGGACATTCCGAGAGTGGAGGAAATTACTTATTTCTCAATCGTTCTGAAATATTCCGAAATATAAAGTTCAGTTGTCAAACTGACAATAAAATTGACAGGATATGTTTTTGAGATGATTATAGGTGTTTTTTGTTTTCATTATTCAACTGGGGAGATAAATGCTACTCCTAAATAAGGCATTGCAGTCAATAATGGCGATTTCGCGGGTTAGTAGTGAAAAAACATGTTTTGTCATTGGCGTGTAATTAACGTATCTCCTTTAAGATGCTTTACGCACTAGAGAATGTTTTCGAAGGCTCATTTTCCTGAATGCCACCTGAAAGGTCACAGTCATGGAAAAAATAATTAACATTTCGTAGATGCATGCAAGGTCAAGGTGGTGTAACGCAGGAAATGCGTAACTAGGTCCGAATTTAGAGCTGGAAAATCTAGATATTTGTTATGAAATCGCTGAACGAAAAGTCGTGAGGCTGAAATCGCGGTAAATTGGAAAATGGCGTCAGTAGATTGGCTCTATACTTCCTACGCCTCCGTTGAAGGTTTCAAAGTAAATAGAAGATTCAAGTCGTTTCAAAAGGCGAAATCGAATCGTGATTAGGTAGTTTCACTTAGGTACGATCTTTGCATTTTTTTAGACTCCAAATCCACGAAGGCTTAAGGCCTAAACACCCATGGGGTATCGTGGGGCTATAGAGGTATAGAGCGAACGCCACACGGACTCTGGCGAGGGTACACGAGTGCATAGAACATGCACACATTCTGGCCCCGCCTACGAGATCCGCCGGGTGGTATCTCTACGTTCAACGGTCAGAGACGGTCTACCACCTACGGCCAATCACAACATCCATAGCCAAGAAAAAAATTTCTCTTGGGAAGGGATTCGAGCCCGCACAGCGCACGGCGACTGATCAGGAGACCGAAGAGTCTACTACTGCGGTCACCGCTGCTGCCCATATCAAACTATTTGAAGCAAATCTATCATATTTCTGTTTTCATGGCATATGTAGGGAAAATATGTGTGACTTATTATGTCTAACAGGTGTATTAGAATGGCTGAGATCAGCAGCTTTTTAATAATAGAAGGTCTTTCACCGACACCAAAAATGCAACAATTTATAACCGTTTACTGCATACAGCTTCCAACCAACAAATTTTATCCGCTTCAAACAATGTATGCAGGAATCTCTGAAGTAGGTTCCATCGTGTTCCTTTTTTGTTCGTAGTTCCACAGTCTCTAATCAATTTTCAAAATCTAGGACTACCTAAACCATGGAAGTATTTAACTCACAATAATATTCTAGGTTCACCAGTTTTCTGTTGCTTAAAGATATCTGCATCACACAAGTCCGTATTTCTCATTTATGTCCTAATATCCAAATATTGATAAAATACCTGTATATAGATATTTTCCTGTGACTGTGTGTCAGTCACGACACTACCGCAGATTGACCAGCTGGAGTTTACCCATTGCACAGTCGCCAGTGACCTCCAAGACGATGCAGCATCGCGCCCTGCACGTCACGCCAAAGATTGCATGATATTTTGAATTATGAGCACATTATACATCGAACTTTTATCACCTAATTTTTCAGTTGTTAGCGAGATCAGAAGCTTCTTAATGACAGAATGTCCTTGACTAATACTAAAGATGTATCATTTACATCCTCTATCCCCTACAACCCCAACCACTACAAAAAACAAAGTTTGAGCGGTTTTTATTTGTTTCGTGTTTTGCCCCTATCTCCGCCGCCTCTGAAACCAGTTTCAAAAACTACAAAGATTGTTCACCCTTGGCATAGTAGTATCCTTGGGTGAAGATTCCATCAAATGCCAGTTGGCGTAAAAGTAAAAAGAATCGTTGGATTGATCGTATAGTACATTTCGACTCCTTTAATAGAACTGAAAAGGAGCTGTTATTAGAACCATCTACCGTAATTTTAAATAACAAGCACCAGTTTATTAGTAGATTTGGATTTGTTATTAGCTTGCCTCACAGTAAGAAGCCACAAGTGCGGTAGATTTGGCAGCACTGCAACGGCAGCGTTTCCTTGAACCACTGTCAACCTGCTTCAACCTATCAAACACAGATGGCAGGTTGGGGTGGTGAGGCGATTGATTGAAAGCCAGTCAGGCAGTTGTAACGAAAGATTGTCTGGCGCGGTACTAGTATAGTGACCTGAACATTTGCCCCATGTTCTTTAAATAAACTGTATTCTGTAATTTAACTTGTCTTAAAACAAACTTATTCGGTAGAAGTAAAATAATGTCCTGACCTAGCTGCTGAACCTAAAACTACTAAAAATATTTTATATTGTTACAGGTTGGACTCAGACATCGTACGTCCTTATGGTTACATCTACTACTTATTACCTTCACAGAAACCTCCAACTTTGCCGACGATACAAGACATTGAGGCAAGACCCAAAAAGATTGCCTGGATGGTATCAAATTGTCACTCATCCAGCCAAAGAGAAGCTCTAGCCGAAGAAATTGACAAGTACATTACTGTCGACATATACGGACAATGCGGTACCCACTTTTGCAGCAAAGACACGGCTGAGGCATGTTACAATTTTCTTGAAGACAATTACAAATTTTACCTATCTTTCGAAAATTCTTATTGTAAAGATTACGTTACCGAGAAATTGTATAACATTCTACAAAAGAATTTAATTCCTATAGTATATGGTAGTGGTAACTATAATATACAAGCGCCACCTCATTCTGTGATAGATGTAAGGAACTTCGAGAGTGTCAAAAAACTGACAGATTACTTAAAGGAGCTCGACGAAGATCCTGAAGAATACCTGAAGTATTTTGAATGGAAGAAAAAATATAGTGTAAATACAAGTCCTCAACAAACTATGTGCGAGTTGTGTGAGAAGCTGAATCAACCAATTGAGAATAACATTTATGAAAGTATTCAAACGTGGTGGAAGTACAGTGGGTGTAAATATAAAGAAGAGTTACCTAAGATAGTTCCCAAAGATTTGTTAGACTGATAGTGGAAGAATATGGTAAAAGGCTGAAGTTGTTTTATTTTCTTAAATAAAATATTTATGCGTTGATCAACGTATTCTACAGTACGTTAGTCACAATTGAAGGCGATTTTCAAAATACTACATGAATCTGCTTTACGGAAAATTGAATGCCTTATGTCAAAAAAAACCTAATACACTTTTAAAGACCAATGCTTTAGTTTAAGTGTTCTACAAATATTTCGGTTCTCACCTATTTCTGTAACTTCTTGCAAGATGGCTCTAGACATGAAGCTGAATGCATGCTCCTCATGTTCAGCTTCTGACATATTAATAAAACTATTAAGGGTTTGTTGGCATGCCAGTCTCAAAAATGGTCTTCGGATGTATGTGTCTGCCTCATATTCGTTGAATATATTCCTGAACTTTGCACTGGAGGGAAAGTTTTTAAAACACTCCCTATTTTCGTTTTCATCTTCTAGTTCTATCCGGTGGTAACAACATGGCATTATCACCAAACATTTTGAAAACTCAAGTTTGGAGAATATCCCTAAAATGCATATGCTCAAATCAGCACATGCGTGAAGGCCTACTAAACAGCCAGATCTAAGTCCCTGTGACACAAAATGTGTTTCGTATAGGTCAGTTAGTTTGCTTGCTGATTGAGAAGATATAAAGTGTTCTTCGAATTTCACTAGATTATGACAGTTTGGGTGATGTTTTTCTTGATTTGCGTAAGCCAACTTGACAAAATCTGGTTTACATTCAATCCCCAAGACTCTGTGACTGTATTTGAAGTTGAGAAGGTGCGAAAGATAACCCTAAAATCAAAAGAAGATTATAAGGTTGTGAAAATGTTTTCTATTTTATATCTGAGCCAAATTATTACTTACCAAACCAGACCCGATATCTAAAACAAAATCCAAATTTTGTTGTCTACAAATCTTATCTATGAAAGCTGCTAGTCTCAAAATTTCATGCAGTTTCTTCTGACTTAATCCAGAATAGTTGCAAGAAGGTTCAACTTGACATTCAAAATGTTCTACTTCGATATTTGGCTTCAGTGAACTAATTTTATCTAATAAGTCTTGAAAACTTTTGGGACAGTCTTTCTGAAAAACAAAGTAAAGTTGATTGCAAAAAAACACGTCTGGATAAAAGTATCTTATACAGGGTGGCGCATCGAAAACAAAACATACGCATTTACTGGCAGCTCAGTTTTTTTTTTTTGAAAAACGCTCAGTTCCGTCGATTTTGTTTTCGAGGTGACATAAGTTTGGCAAAAAGTCACGTTAACACGTGCAGCCCCCTTGGCGGGGGTGACACCAACCTTAAAATCTTAAATGGAAAGGGGGGTCGAGTGATACCTTATTTTAAAGGTCTTTCAATTCCCTTTATAATGATATAAAATTAATGTACTTCAGTTCAGTAGTTTTGAAGATTTATTGATTTAAAGCTTAAATAAAACTAATACAACATCATTAGTAAATGTTGAAAATGGCCACCATGACTCTCCATGCAATAATAAAGATTTTGCTCAAAACGTTGCCACACATTTTGCAATATTTGAGGAGTAATTTGAAGGCACTCATTCTTCTTTGTCGCAGGTTTTCTAATGATGTTGGCTGAGTAGCATATATTTTGCTTTTTAAATGACCCCACATAAAAAAATCCAAAGGTGATAAATCTGGCGATCTTGGGGGCCATTCAATGGCACCTCTTCTAGCAATCCATCGATCTGGAAACGTCTGACCTAAATATTGTCGAACACGTAATGCGTAATGTGGTGGGGCACCATCCTGTTGGAACATCAACCTATTCGCAATGTACCGCCGATCATTCTGATTTTCAATTAGGACTGTTAATGCAGGATCTATGGCGTCTTCCAGTAATTCCAAATACATTTCACCGGTCAAATTTCCAGGTAAGAAAAAAGGACCAACTAAATGATCGCCAAAAATACCAGCCCAAACATTTAATTTTTGTGGCTGCTGTGTATGAACCTCATGATAAATTCTGGGATTAGAATCGGACCAATATCGGCAGTTATGACGATTTACTACGTCATTTAAGAAAAAGGAACATTCGTCGGAAAAGCAAGTGTTGAATAGAAAATGTTCATCGTTTATAATTCGTTCACTCATATCTCCACAAAATTGTAATCGCCGATCAAAATCGTCTTCATTAACTTCTTGTACTAGGTGAATTTTATACGGATGAAAACTATGGGCCTTTAGAATCCGTTGGACAGTACGTCGACTAACACCACACACAATGTCCAATTTGCGAGTACTTAACGTAGGATCTACATAAACTTGCCCTAAAACCCCCACTTCTATTGCTTCGCTCCTAATGGAATTTTCAATGTTGCGTTTTTTATTGGCGACTGACCCAGTTTCCCGAAATTTAGCTTCAAGTTCTAGATCGTATTTTCGATGCACGTTACTGTTCTCATGTCGCTCATTAAATATTTCTGCTGTTCTATTAGCGCACTGATTATTTCCGAAAAATATTTCGATAATTTCAACTCTTTCTGCTGTGGAATATACCATGGTTAATTTATGTATTAAAGCGTTACAAGTTATTTTAGCAACAAAGTTTGGTCAAATCAATCGCAAACTATGTACTAAATTCCTATTTAAAATAACTACGAGATATTTCCTTATCTTTCTTCAAGAAATAACTTTTTTGCCACAAAAAAAACGCTCCAATAGCTATTTTCAACAACAAAATGATAAACAAACCATGGGCGTAGTGAAGAAAAGCATTTACTTTTTAAGTATAGTAGTACAAACTAATCTGATGTATCTATTAAAGTCTACTTTAAGCTTTAAATCAATAAATCTTCAAAACTACTGAACTGAAGCTCATGTATTTTACATCATTATAAAGGGAATTGAAAGACCTTTAAAATAAGGTATCACTAGATCCCCCTTTCCATTTAAGATTTTAGGGTTGGTGTCACCCCGCCCAGGGGGCTGCACGTGTTAACGTGATTTTTTGCCAAACTTGTGTCCCCCTCGAAAACAAAATCGACGGGCCTGAGCGTTTTTCCAAAAAAAACTGTGCTGCCAGTAAATGCGTCTGTTTCGTTTTCGATGCGCCACCCTGTATAATAATATTGTGAGCAATATCGACATCATACGAAATAAAGCACCGGAGTGTCACATTATATGAGTACATCTTTTCTAGAATCATCAACACTCTAAAAACACTACAAAATGGAACAATAATCAAATGCAAACGAATAACCAAATGAAAATAGTATTTACCATTTTGGATTTGTATTTACCGATCCGTTCAAACTAGTGTGGTTATCGGTTTGGTTATATAATTGGTATAAGCTGTTATATGTCATAGTTATCACCTAAAATTGTGGTATTTACCCAACTCCGGAGTAGTTTTATATTTCTGGTTATTATTTGAAATGTGACAGAATTTTGGCGGGTATTGGATATTTTTGTTGAACTTCAGCATCTTTTTGGGAAATTTAATACAGACTTCAGTTTTAGCATAAAGTAGAGCACCTTACTAGTTATACTCATTACGTTGTTGGGGACACTTTAAATCTAGTTCATATGCTTAACAAAGTATCCTGTGTAGCCATATACCACAAGAAAATTAAAATATGGTCATATAAATTCACTGAATAGTGTCCACCTGTAAATGGTTTTGCTAATACGTTTTTTTCATCCCTTTTTCCTATCATTTCTGCTAAATCAATAAATCTTTGACATGCGGAAAAGTCTGAAGAATTGAAATTTATCATATAAATAAGAGAGATTTTCTGAAGTGATTTAACACCTGAACAACATCTTGTGAAAAAAAAATATTTCTCCCATTAATATTATGAAAGTTTTCTTTTTAGAACTTTCCGTATCACTGCTGTAGATGAAAAGCACCAGTATTAATAATAAAAATAATCAGAAATTATATACGCACTTTTCTCAAATAAAGAACTTGCAACAAAACCGCGGTTAAAACCAATGCGTTCAAGCGATTCGAAAAACTGACATCAACTCATGTCTCATCTCAAACCACACTATAACCGCGGTAAATAACTCAGAAATTTTGGTTATTCGCTTGGATTTGATTAATAACCTCCATTATCATTTTTATATTCCGTGGAATCTTCTAGACAGTTTGTCAGCTGAATCCAACGTTGACCTTCAATTAAAGGATAAGTGATATTTTGAAATTGTACTGCTGTGATATTATCATGATTTTTATGTACTTACCTTTAACTGATTTAAAGGAAACAAGTTCAATTCCTCATTTGAAATATTCTTAAAATAATCCATCCATTCGCAAGGAAAGTTTTTGAATACATTTTTCACCAGCACATGAGTATTGTGATAGTTATATAGCCACTGATATGATTTTAGGAAGCCTAGGCAATCTGCTATGTATGCTTCGGTAGATGCATACGCCGCGGGTAGAGACATGTTTCTGCAACGAAAGTTCATGATTCAGTCCTTTCCTTGTTTCTTTTACTTTCTGTAAGTATTATAGCATTTTTTTATACTCGAACTACCACGAAGGCCTAAGGCCTAAGCACCCATTGGGTACCGTGGGGCTACAGGGGGATACATGGGAAAGGGGGAACGCCACACGGTCTCTGGCGAGGGAACACGTGTGCATGCAACATGCACACATTCTGGCTCCGCTTACGAGATCCGCCGGGTGGTACCTCCGCGTTCGACAGTCAGAGACCATCTACCACCTACGGACAATCACAACAGCCATAGCCAAGAGAAAAATTTCTCCTGGGACGAGACTCGAACCCCCACAGCGCACGGCGACTGATCAGGAGACCGAAGAGTCTACTACTGTGGCCACCGCTGCTGCCTGCAACAGTTTGAATTCACGCAGGATGGCTAATTGACGAGCCTTCAGAAACATTCAAAAACTGTTTTTTACTGGACTTTTCCTGAATTTTTGCGTAATTGTCTTGTAGCCACTTGTACCATTTTTGAAAAACGTCCAAGTTCTCTAGATTCTTTGGATCTGGACATAGACTATAGAAACACTCGGACATGACTCGCCAGCCTCGCATGTACATCATGTTTCTCTCACTTCCTAATTGACCGGTATCCTCAACCTAGGAAAATCATTGTATATGTATATGACGCTATCAAAACAGCGTTGCCGCAATAGTTGACAGGTATGTTTAAGTAGGTACTGGTAATTACAGTTGACATCGCCATGTGCGATGAACAGAATTCAAGATGTCAGTTTGGTTCGTATACAGCGTAAATAGCGGAGGCCCAATGAGTGACCCTTGGGGAACGCCACGAGCGAGATTGTGGGGTTCCAACAACCAAAGCATCAGTGAAAAGGCAACGTACGACTGAACTTGTTTCATTAAAATTATCGTTCGCATATAGTACTGTCAAAACGACTTTGCTAAAGTAGTTGACCGGTTTTTAAGTACCGGTAGACAGATCAGCAGAATTCAAGATGCTATATAGTGTAAATAGCAGAGGCCCAAGAACCTTGGAGAACTCCATTAATTATATTTTTTAGTTTCTACGGCCAAAGTATCAATAAAGAAAACAACATATATTTGAACGGGTAATCAAAAATATTCAGTGTCTCCAGATTTCTTGTATCTCTGTAGCTATAGAAAAAACTCCGATCGGTTATAAATCTGTCAGCCCATAAGCCCCATGTTTTTTCTCACTTCTGGATGCAGGTACTAGGTAGTTAACAACTTAGCCAGTATCCTGAACTTAGGAAAATCGTAATTCGCTTATGATACTGTCAAAACGGCTTTGCAGCAATAGTTGACACCTGACACTGACAGTTGACAGAGTCATGTGCGATGAAAAGGATTAAAGATTCTAATTTGGCTCGTATATAGTGTAAATACCAGAGGCCCAAGAACTGAACCTTGGAGAACTTCACTAGTGACATTTTTTAGTTCCAACAGCCAAAGCATCAATAAACAAGACAACATATGAGTAACTATTTTATTTGTACTCCATAACAATCATTTAATAATAAGCAACAAAATACTATAGTTTCTGAAGATCACACTGGGTATAAAAAAGTAAAAAACCTAAAAATTAAGCGGCTGTATCCATGACTGTCCACAATTCGTTTTCTCTTTTGCCTATATCCGTTGCGCCTTTTGGGCCTATGATGACCTTACCCGTATTGAGGGTGTTATTTTCACCTAGATATTTTTCAGCTACTTGTCCTACTCCTTTCTTGTCTATGCTCATCAGATCAGCTCTATGCCTTTGTTTCATATCTGGCGTAAGCCTCTTTGAAAACTCCTCAAAACCTTTACTACTAGGAGGAATAGGAGCATCAACAGCTTGAAACACTCCTAACTTCGCTTCGAAAATGTCTTGGTCTGTTATTTTTCCATAGTTGTCTTGAAGCCATTTGTATGACTCATCAAAAACATCCAGTGTCTCCAGATTCCTTGGATCTCTGTAGCTATAGAAAGAAAACACTCCGTCGGTCATAACCCTAGCTCCACCCCCATAAGCCCCACGTTTTTCTCTTACTTCTGGATGCAAGTACTTGGTACTTAACAACCTAGCCAGTATCCTCAACTTAGGAAAATCATCATTCGTATATGGAGCTGTCAAAACGGCTTTGCTGCAATAGTTGACAGGGATGTTCAAAACGTGGTATTGACAGTTAACAGCGTCTGTCGGCGCCCATACCTTGCCAGTGACATATACACTGTCACTGTCTGTATTTAAAGTTGCTGGCACGTCAGGGAGACCCATTATGAAGTTTTCGAAACTTCGAAGTACCGAGGTTTGACTGTCAGGAGAGATATTCAGCGCTACCCTGGAAAGAACGTAAACATTAGAAAAATGTATGGTCAGTTTATAAAGTCACCCAACTTAACCTAACCTATTGTTTGAGATATTTCATTACGGTTTGACATCTACTGAGACACGTGACATCTTTGTGTTTGTACTGTTATAAATAATGAACCTGGTGATGGGAAAGTGCATAAATAGGGAGTTTCTAGAGAATCTCGAACATCCCGGCTTGATTAGCGATGGGCAGTATCGTTTCGGACTCAAGTGTTCAATGGGGGACTTCCTAGCTTACTTCACACAAGTGTGGATCGAGTAAACTAATCCAGTCTCACGGTGAGGCGCATGTTGTCATCACAAAAGCCTTTGATCAGCCGAGGCATGCTTCCATCTTTATGGCCTCCCAGCGATGTTAGAATGTATGATTCAGTACAAAAAGCTAAACAAAATATGGCCACCGAACACCGTCTTAATACGTCTCTGTCAGCAGAGTTGTTGTCACTTGACGGGGTGTTTTAAATGTCAATAGGTAATCAACTGTTATTTGTTCACACGTTTTACCGTGATGAAGCATCGTAAAAACTACTATAAACCAACTTAATAGAACCTAACCCTACGCCATACGGAAAATGCTAGCACCGTTGGTGTCGTATGGTAAGATCATACTGTATAATATAGTTAGAAACTTGTTAGGTATTGCAAGTAATATAATTCACTGGAAATGCTGCGCTAGGGAGAGGAAGGACCGAGGTCCCTTGCATTTTTAGACAGAATAAAGTTAATCATCCTGAAATCAAGTTGTGTTGCTAAGGGCGCGAAAGCCCGAAATAGATAAATCTATTAAACTGGGTTAAGTTTTATTGTCACATTTATAGACGTTCCCTGATAATAACGCAAGACAACAACCCTTTCCAGAGAAGCATTCGAAGGAGGATTTAACATTTGCATTTCCCAACATTTCCCAGAGTTATCACAGGTTTCAAAATTTGGGATTTTCAAAAATTTCAAAAGGATATGGGAAACGATCCCGGTCAAATTGGCTGAAATTCTAGAATGTTGTTCTCCATACCAATCTGATCAGAAGTATTAATTGCACTATAGTCCTAAAAACAACAGTTTTCGAGTTACAGGGTGTTCAAACTTAATAGATTGTAAAAACTTTATTTTACGATTTGTTTCGCCATTGATTAGAACAGAACCTCCTACAATGCTGGTTTAACCCATCTACACATTATTTTATGGTATCCAATCATTATTACAATTATGGAAAATAAATTTCGCTCACACTTGCTGGTATTTAAGTATGATATCTATACCATCTCGAGTACGTAAGCAATCGAAATATTGTAGAAAAAATGTTCTTGCCAAATTAGCTGAAATTTTAGTGTGTTATTCTCTTCAATGGTTTTCGAGTTACAGGGTGCGCATGTGTAGCAAAATAGCACTCGTAATATTACTTTGATCCATCTACTATGTTTTGGCGCATTTTTTATTTTCTTATAAAATTCAATATTTTTGAGGTTCTGAAAATTTTGAAGATATTGAAAATTTAGATAATTTGGAGATATTGAAAATTTAGATTATTTTGAAATCCTGAAAATGTTAAAACATCGAAAATACTGAAAGTCATGAAAATACTGAAAATGTGTAAATTTCTAAACTTTTTAATGCGAACTCTGACTTCAAAGAACTCCTATAAACGTGACCCTAAGTTAGGTTGAGTTAGGTTGTGACTTTATAAATGACGCATTAATCAACGCTTTGGTATCTCAACTAGGCTCTTTTCAAGCTAGACTATAACATTTCCAAAGTTTTTGTACAAGAATAACTTACCTCATTTTCTTCTTATCAAACAGTATCTTCGCAATATTGAGTATTTCATCTAAAATTGCTTTGAAATTTGATGTATGTATTAGCCTCTTCATATAAGATATATGCTGAAGACCTGAAAGTTGCTCTATTTGGTATGCAGATCCAGAGACTAGACTAGACGCGGCTTGCATGGCATAAATATGACCTGAAACAAAATGATAGGGTTTAATCAAAACCTTTGAACATAAAACGGTTATTTTGTTAAAATGTTACACAATTTATTGTAACTACTGTACTAAATGTTGTATTATGTGTTGGTATATCCGCGCACAAGGATATTTTCCTGTTGTGAAATATGAATTTATTCACAGTTTATAATTAATGTGAATAACTATAATTAGCATTATTTCAACAAATCATGCAATTAGATTCACATACAACATCGAAAGTTTTTCAAAAGCATTTTGTTTATTCAATATTATGTTCTCTCATCTTACCTGAATCAACGATGCCATGTGTCAAATTTGCCATATAAAGCTGAACCAGCATTTGAAATCGCGATATATCTTTCAAATCGGTTATTGTGAATATTTGATTCCAAATGTCCCACATACTGTCTGCATTCTTTTCTAGACAATAACTTGACAAATACATTCCAGGTTCGTACGTGTGCAAATGAAACAGGCTTTCCCCTGAAAAAAAGACATTACGTTAACCATGAAGCAAACATAAAAAACATGAACAATATAATATATGGTTATTTGCAAAAATGAATTTCTAATTATCAGAACTGATTAATCTATTATACCTGAAGACAACCAACCATGGACTATATTCCGGCGTCCTAAAAACGATCTGATATATGAGATAGTAGCAAAACCAAACACACTAACTCTTTTAAGTAGATTTCTGAATTCATTTTTTTGTTCTGCTATTGTCTCATAGGTGGCGCTAGGATCTTTCGGCTCCCTTTTGGGCGCCAAAATACAGTACATATCTTCAGGTAGAGTATGTTAAACAATGCTATCAGGTACTTCCAGATACAGTCATCCAAGCAAGTTAATATGGCGTTTCCTCCTTGCGATTTGGTCTGCTCTAAATGAATCGAATATCAGAAATTGAATGTTGGAAAGAGCTGACAGTGTCTTAAATGATGAAAGTATGCTGATCATATAACACAGTGGGTGGTCAACGTTCTCTGCAAGAAGGTGTCAGAAGAGACATCATTTTCCTTTTTAAGAAAATAAGTGTCAACTTAAACACGACATCAACCTCCCACGAAAAGATCGCCCCTTGACCTCTCTCGTAATTATTCCCAAGATTTTATAATCTGAGATCTTTTTCCATGACCTGTGACAGGAAATGGCAACACTGACATATATATATATATATATATACAGCTTTGGCCAAAAGTATTAAGCACGCTCGATATCTTTCAATTTTAGGGGACTATTACATTGGAATAAATTGACACAATTTTTTATAGTTATAAATGACTTATTATGAGAAGAAAATCAATATTTTGTGGGACCTCCCATCACCTTAAGTACAGCAGCAATTCTTCTAGGTAAAGATCGTACAAGTTTATTACATTCTTCGTAAGTTAAAGCGTTCCATTCTTCACGTAGGCGGCGCTTTAAGTCTTCTTTTGTGTTGATTGTGTGACGCCTAATCTTGCGTTTTAGTAAGTCTCACAAATGTTCAATCGGATTCAGGTCAGGTGACTGGGCAGGCCAACCCAGAAGCTCGATACAGTTTTCTCTGAACCAAGGCATTGTCCATGCGGCTTTGTGGCAAGGCGCATTATCTTGCTGGAACTTGACCCCATTCATGTTGGTATCACCGTAAAGTGCGGTAAATGACGGCAAAAGAGCACATTCAAGTACGTTTATGTACTTTGTGGCATCCATTCGACCCTCACACATGGACATTTCTCCGACTCCAGAGGCACTCATGCAGCCCCAGACCATTATGCTGCCGCCGCCATGTTTCAAAGTAGGCACCACACACTCCTGATTGAATTCTTCTCCTACTCTTGACGAACAAATGTCACACCAGGTGTACCAAAAATCTGAAAAGTTAAGAAATATCATTAAGTAGTTGCTTAGTTGAATAATTTTTTTAATACAATTTGTTTCAAAAATTATTGTTACATCTCGTTACTGCATCATTTCAACTAACGTACCTCAAAGTTTGATTCGTATGACCATACAATATTTAACCAATACACTTCATTGGTTTTTGTATTTTAAAGCCCAACCATACCGAGCCTTCTTGTTTTTGTCTGAGAGCCATGGCTTCTTTCTGGCTTTGCGGCCATTTAGACCAGCTTCTTGAAGTCTTCTGCGAGTAGTTCGGGTAGAAATTGGCCTATTAATCTACGCTGATAGCTCGGCAGCGAGGACAATAGAAGTTTTTTCCTGTTTTTCAAAGACTCTCTGATCAATACTCTGTCTTCACGATCTGTGGTGATGCGTTTGCGGCCTGTTCTAGGTCTGTCTTTATGTAAAGCGGTCTGAGAGAATCGCTGAATAGTGTATTGTACACATCGACGCGAACACTTCACTGTTTTCGCAATGTCTACTTGGGGCTGCCCTTGTTCATGAAGAACCTGTATTTTCACACGTTTTTAAATGCTCACTTCATTCTTTTTTGCCATATTGCGAGAGTATTAGTTAAATTCTCGAAATAAAATTATCAAAGTCTCACTAAATCACTGAATTGTTCACAACGAACGATAGAAGCGAAATGATAAATTCGGACTGAAAAGGTAAAACTGAGTAATCTCTAAAAAACTAGACGTCTTAGCGATAGTAAGTAGATATGGTATTGTTTACAAACCGGTCTGGATACCTACAAATATTTTTGGAACCTTCAGTTTTTCTTTTCATTCATCATTGTAGCGTACGTGCAATATTTTTTGGGTGCTCAATACTTCTGGCCAAGGCTGTATATATATATATATAGAATTGTCAGTATAACCGGTTTATAGCGCCACGACACGTAAGCTTCTTTTAGCATATGCAAGACTTTCAATTGATCTGGGTGTGATTAAATGAAAAATAGTATCCAAACATCTTCAATGAAGGATAACTTTTGGTACTTTCTGCGAACGAAACCTTTAAACATTCCGAGTTTTGCTTCATATTTACACGGTTTCAAAAGTTTTTTCACATGATTCTGAAAAACCATGTTACAAAGACTACACTTTCCAGTTCATGAAAACGATACTTTTTTTGCATTTACTGGGGGAGATAAAAACCGGTTTTAGTTTGGCATGCAAAAAGTATGTGCAAACTACTTACCTATATGGTTCTGGAAGCTCAACCCTGCCGTCTTTCTATTAACCAAACTATCAAACTCCCTAAAGTTCATTTTATCTGTGCCCAATTTACTGATCACGTAACAAAACAATGGTAGCATCATTTGTTGCTCTGGTGACAGTTCATTCGTGTTCAGAATTGCCTTGAAATACACGATTCCGTTAGAATTAACCCTGTTGATCTGGGTGGGGACATGATTCAGTGTCACTTGGACTTTGTCCACTCTCTCGACGCTGTCGCTAATATCGTCTATGGTCAAAGTGGGAAGTAGTTCTGTTTTCGCAGGTTCTTGCATAATTTTCAGGAGTTCTTGGTTTTTATCAAAGATGGACTTTTTGTCGACGTCGGACAGCCTGCAATTTAAAAAAAAATCAGTGAATTTGAAGTAAATTCCATTTACCCTGTACCGGTTACGGTTGTACCGAAATGCTTTGTCCGTTTCGATAACACCAATATCCACAGATCGCGCAGATTTATTTGAAGGATATACACATATCTCATTGTTTCAACCACTGAATGTATACATGTTGGTCTCACAAATGAACTATAACGACAACGATTCGTGTTAGAATTTAGTTTGTGTATCCTTGGATGATGGAGACCATACAGGCCACTGTATTTTGAACAAATTTCAACAAGGCAAATGCTACAGAAGCGTGTAGAGGTTTATTAAAGAGTTTGGTAACTAACTAACTGACTTTGCTTGCAGAAGATGCTTAAAAAAAATTCAAATCTAATTTTGAACTTTTCGATACACCAGGCTGTGAGCGACCATCTTTGATCAACAACATGTTGAAGAAAAACCAGTTTTCGACAACCTCAGGCATCGTAATGAGTTCGAATCAGCTTATCAAACTAATTTGGGCCATGTTTAGGAATTTTGTGTAACGAATCGAAATGGGTGGCAGATGAGTTAAGATCGGCTAATAACGGTATGAAAATTAGATCCTGTTTGAAAATGTAAAAAAGCATGTTTAGAATCGGGACCTTCTACATCATCCACTTCTAAATCAAATTTGAGGTGTTGAAACTCAATGAAAGTCTGACTTTGGAGAAGTATTTTCATCCAAACTTCAGATCACTGAACGTCAAGCTTAATACAGATCCTGTAATAAAAGAACCAACCACCATTAGTCTGCATGTAGCCTTTGAATTAGATCAAATGTATCAAATATGTGGAAACATCCTCAAAAAATAAGATATACTGTGTGTTAAGATTAGTACCCCAAAAACTTTGAATGTACCCACTGACTTCAGTATTTAGAATAGAACAGAAAGGATTCATTTTGCTCCAAACTACTTCAAACAATAATAAATATTATTTAAAAAAGGTGTTAAATTTACAAAGTGGTCGTCACATCAAACCGAAATTCTCTTTTTAAAAAATTTAGCATTACTAGATGTTTTTACATTAATAGGCAGACTGTTGTACATTTGCAGACCTTCAATACTTACTTCTCTAAACCTTTAGATTTAAATCTTTGTGTATAAAAATGTTCTTTTGAGTTTTTTTAGAAACTGTGGAAAGGTGGAGCCTGATTATTGATAGTTTTATATAAAAGAATTTGACCCTTGAATGTATGTATTGTATGTTTAAAAAATTCAATGTCTAGCATATCATGTATAGGTGTATACCTGCGACAATTTAACAAAATCGGCAAACATTTATTTAATAGAGTTTGTAACCTTTGCTTTTCCTCATTTGACCATGTAATCAAAAGTGATACATAATAAGTAAAATGAGGCAAAAATAGTGTTATTATTGTCTACCCTTCTACACCAGGGACTTAAGATTGTGACAAATTCTACGAAAATTCACAATCTTTTTACCTAATTCCGACACATATATCCACATGTTTGTTGACGGTTAGTTGCTCATCTATTATAATACCTAAATATTTAAAACTACGAGGGGTACGCTGTATATTTTGGGATGCGCATTAACTGTACTAGTTAAAACCGGCAAAGAACAGTTCTTTATTAGTAAGTCGCCGATTTCAGTTCATTTGCAAGCGTCTTACAGTGCACGTGTAAATAAATTTAAGACGAAACATGGAGTTGTCTCGAGAGAGTTATTGCGTTATGATTTACTACGGCTTCAAAGTCGGTTTAACTGAACATCAATGTATCGAACGGTTACAACAGGCATTTGGTACTGAAGCTCCGTCCTGGGCAAAAGTGTTTCGCTGGTATGCCGAATTTGAAAGAGAGCGTGTTTCATTGGCTGATGAAGAACGTAGTGGTAGGCCATGTTTTGTGTGACTCCAGAAAACATTGTTAACTAGTTGAAGAAGATTCTCGCTGCACATATGCGACTATAGAGGCAACTCTTGAGGTAGGATGCGCAACAGTGCACACCATTTTCCATGATCCAAGTAGTGGCGAGCAATCCTGCATCACGACAATGCCTCTAACCACACTGCCCAACTAACTGTACTTTTTACACCAGCGCCACATCAAAATGCTAGAACATCCGTCTTATTCGCCAGATTTGGCAATGTGTGACTTCTGGCTCTTCAACAATGTGAAAAAAAATCTGCGAAAATTTTCGTGCGAGAGAGGAAATCTATCAAGAAATTAATCAGTTTGTTGAAGGCATTCCAAAAACTGACTGATTAGAAGCATTTCATTTGTGGAAGGTCAGGCAACAGAAGTGCATTGATGCTGGAAAAGAATACTTTGACGATAACTAAACTAGTTTTCGAAAAATGGTTTTTAGTTTTCGTGTATCTCAAAATATATAGTGTGTCCCTCGTATCTACAAATTCGAGTACCTCTTTCTCAATTTTCACTGACAAATTTAAATCTAGTAATTTCTTGCAATTATATCCGAACCTATGATCATACCGGAGCTACAAATGATCAGAATTTTCCAAAAAAATAATTTCTTTGAGATTTTACAACTATAAAACAATTTGAATCTGGTGTCATAGAGACTTACTTCTTTGTCTTCTTCTTAATCAGCTGCTTTTCCTCTTTAGCTAACTTTTCTTCAAAGGACTTATCCGCTGACATGGTCAATATCAACTTATGAGTGTTGTTCTTGAAATATTTCTCCACCTGCTGCTGCAGATACTTCGGATCGTTTTTCAAATGCATTTTCAGACTATCTATCATTTCGTTCACTTTCAGGGAGTTCACGATATCCTCCGTGTGATTCCATGTGGGCGTTAGTCCAAATAGCAAGTGCAGACCAAAGTTACTCGTTTCATGTTTGACAGATAATTCGAATCTGTGAAGGACGGACTCAATGTGTTGAGATTCGAAACCGTTCTCGACTATGCTGGCAACTGTATCTTCATATATTTTTACCACCTGAAAAAAGTGTTCCATTAATATGTCCACAGACTACTTTCATGTAATTTAGGGACTGTTCTTACTGAAAGCAACTAGCGACCGCAACTCGTCGGGAACCCAACTCGACACGTGTTGTCAAATACAAGCGACGACAACACGATCAGATGCTCAATGTTTGCTGGCACTGCCGACACTACTCGGTTTGGAGTTAGTTCAAGCGCGGATCCAGAGATCATGAGCATATTTTTTTTTATAATTCAACGTTACTGAATTCGGATCAGACCCTTCACAGGTATAATATATCGTGTGTTCCTGGGTGGCTGGTGGAGCAGGAATGGCAGCCGATGGTTACTGTTAGTGAGAATAGTGCCTCAGGGTTCTAATTATTTTAGACTGTGGCAAATACCTTGTCAAAGTCATCATTTTTGACTCCTTGTAGACCAATGGTGAAAATACAGTCCTTAGGCTGAGTATCAAATCCAGTAGAAGGGGTAAAACCTCCAGAAAAGTTCGGTTCAATCATGGATTTGTAAAATGGAGAATTTGGACCTTTAATCAGGAGCTCTGTCAAAAATTGCATCAAGAAGGTTTCATATACATTGGTGTTACTTGACAGTAATAGACTGATGGTAACAGTATTTTGCTTTTCTATAACATCGCCCATGGAGTCATACCTGAAAAATGCATTCCATATTTTTTCCCATGTTTATAAATCCAGTCCAGAAACTATGAAATAGTCAGAAGTGAAAAAATGTATTTTGATGTCAAAACCGCATAGGATTGAAGATATTCTTGGAAAATACATTTATCAGTGGTAATATGCAAAATGACATGAACAAATTGAAAGGTTTAGCGCATATCACAAATACTTCATTTCTTAATTTAAAATGAAAGATTAGGATGTAACTTTTACGAAAATATCAATTTTTCTTTAAGGAACCCTCTGCTTGCTATTTTATAGAACTTCGAAGTTGCATTTTTGATGGAAATACTCTAGAATAGAATACTGGTTTATATGCTGTCATTTCTTGATTTTTGTACAAGAGGATGCTCTAAATTATAAGAATATAAGATATATATACACTGTATAGTACTAAGGAAAATAGATGTGAAACTGTAAAAAATCTTTGTTTTTTGCAAAAAGGTTCAAAACCACACATTAGCTTAAATGACATATCAAAATACATACGTAAATGATGGAATATACTTAGTAAACTGTGTAGAGGTGTTGTTTTGTAATTTTTCAATGTCTTCTTGAAACTCCTTAACCATTTTTTTCGCGTATTTTCAATGAGATCAAAGTTTTTGTGTTTATAAAAAATATTTGAAAATACGAACAATTCTGAATGGTCATTTTATAACGCTCATTTCTTGACAGATAAAATAAATGATGTCCATTATTGCCAAGTTGTACCTTTTTTGGGAGAAATACGTGATTAGAAATGAGGTTATTTGCGAAATGAAAGTCTTAATTTATTGTAAATGGATTATTTTATGAAATGTTGTCCCAATATTTACCGAAAAATAGATGAAATTTTGAACACTATGTGTCTAAACAGGGGAAAATGCAACAGCGGCTCGCGTGACACAAAAAATACAAAAGGCACCAGCGGTCATTGCATATAAAAATATCCAACGTCGATTTGGACCACCTCGCCAGGTCCACCCAACATATCATCGTCCAACATTATAGTTAAATAAATATCAACGATAATTTCATCAAATCATCAAAAAACTTGCAATGTTCTTTATGTTTTCATTATTTAGTGATTTGCAACAGCTACTTTTTCAGTTATTCTCATATATATATATATATATATCACATTTAATTAGGTATATTTTGTAACATCAGCTTCACTTTAAATAATTCTTCAAGTACATACACACAAAAAGTAAATAGATTATAACTATAATATAGGAAAAACAATAACCGAAGTATGCACTTTTGTGAAGGGCATAAGGCATTCTTCAAAAAAGTTCCATTAGCTAACGGGCACAAGGTTAATTTAGTACAATAAAACCTGCCTGTCACACCTCCAAATCGCTTTTTCATGACAATCCTGTGCCGATTGTACATTTTTGCGCTAGTATATAAGAATTTGACAAACCAAATTAAGGTATATTACTATCCATGATTTGGCAACATCGCAACTAGATGGAGAGAACATGACAGTGACGGTGGTGTAGTGATGGGAATAATTATCTGAAATAAAAGAAATGTCTACTTAACAATGAACTATTTTCACCCTTAAAATATTGTAAAATTGCATTATTGCGATGAACAGCGACACAGTAACTTACGGTGTATGTTATATTCAGATAATTTTAAACATTGTATAAACAAGAAGAAAACAGCTTATAAAGCAGTATGCACCACAGTATTAGCACCCAAAATGCAACTTTAAAGTTCTATAAAATAGCAAGCAGAGGGTTCCTTAAAGAAAAAAAACGATATTTTCGTGCAAGTTACATCCTAATCTTTCATTTTAAAATAAGAAATGAAATATTTGCGATATGCGCTAAAGTATAGTTCAGCCAATTGAAGTACTAGATGTTATACTACTAAAAATCTTCACCTGCAGGTTATATGTTCTTTTTTTGGTTCTGTCCATCTTTTCTGATGTGGAACCTGAGTATGCGACATGGGAGAGTAAGCGTATTTGCACAAATATTCATTGTTAATATATTCCAAAGAGGGCAACAATGGAAAATTCCCATAAGAATAAAACCTAGCATTGCTAGGATGATAATGTTCCTTGTGAAACTTCACCAAGTCACTATATGAAAGGTTAGGAATCTCTTTCGGATCCCCACCAGATATCACTCCATATGTGTGGTCAGGTAATATTGCACATTGTATCCTTTGTCCAATGATATTTTCGTTTTCTGAAAATACGCCCTTCATTTCATTGTAGACCACCCCTTTTATCATGATCGAACTTTTTATGTCTTGTGGGTCTGTATGTTCTAATCGCCAACCTTCTTGTCTGAAATCTGGCTCTTTAAGTAATGGTCTGAAAACCGCGTCCAAGTATATCCTTTGCAGATTTCTGTAATAAAAAAAAAAAATTGTGTCAAGTATTGACACTGAGTAAAAAATACCTCTTTATAGAAAACATTCTATGGTATATTTTTATGTGACTAAAACATTACTACAATCCCTAAGAAAAATGAGATTGAGCTTATCAAAATTGACAAAACTTGACTGCAGAACCCATAAATGGTCCCAAAAGATTCGTTTGCGACCTCAAAATCGATTCCCTCAACACTTCACAATTTTTAATGGCCATTTTGGCATTCAGGGTACAGATATACGTATGCGTGTACGAATTTTCTACTGCTTGAAACAATAAGGAATGAAAATGTCATGAGGCAATGGATATAATAATGTACCTACCTGAAATCTGAATAATTTTGGGAGCTAAATGGATACATGGTTAAATCTGGCCCAGTCATGGCATTCATAAAAGTAGCCAGTGATCGACTTAACATTTTAAAAAATGGATCTCTAACTGGGTATAACTCTGATCCACACAGCACAGTATGTTCCAAAATATGGGGCTGCCCAGAGCTGTTCATTGGCGTTGTCCGAAAATTGACAGAAAATGTATTATTCGTATCATTGCGGAACAAATGCAGGTACTGGGCTTTAGTTTTTTCATGTTGCATAAGCACTGCTGTGATTCTGAATTCAGATATGTCTTCAATAGATTTTACTAAGAATCCATGGTATTCCTGCCCCTCTTTGAAAAGCTGGACGTCAGACGATTCTGTGGATAATTTCTGTCTTGCCAGTTGTGAACTGTATCTGTATGTTGGGCAACCTGTTTGTAGTCTTATTAATTTTGTTACCTTTGATCTCCACATGTTTGCTAAAAATATAACAGGTTCAAAATGAAATCATAGACAAATATTAAGTAAATGTATAAATACTTATTGATTTCAACACTTAAGAGGCATATCACGTTTGTGTACTCTTTTCAAAGCCAAAACTACCAAATGAAAGATGGTAGTTCAGTAATACTTTAATGCACTTAAGACAGCAAAAAAGATAAAGAGTTAAAAACATAATTCATGATGACTTTAAAAGGGCCATATAAAAATATACTTATAAAAAATGTAACTTTTAAGAGAGAAACTAAAGAGAATCGAAAAGTTTAATATCTGATACCAAATTCGACTGAAGAGCAGATAGAGGCATATTTAGAAGAAAGATTGACAAACTTTAAGCTGTTATGGACTTGAAAGAAGAATATTCACACGCATTTTGGCCTAATTGTAAAACAGTTTTTATTTTGTAGAAACTATGTTCACCACCATTCCAGTCAGTGGCTAAGAATTCAGAAACTACATTAGTACCAAAAATGATTCAAAATTGTAATCAAACAAATAGTCAAATAAACTTTTTTACCAAAATGTTCAAAGTATAAAGACCAATGCTTGAGGTACTTCTCAAAGATGAGAATAAACATGTATTCTGTGCTACAGAACACTGGCTCTAAACTGATGAATCTACCTACTGCATTAATGCGGATTAATATGTAGAAGTTTAGGTTATACAAATGACATTTCAAAAGAAATTGACTGCGAAATCTGAGGGTTGGAATTCGATAGTATTTTCATACCAAACATATACAGATCTCCAAGTTGAAATTTTTAGTCTTTCATCGAGACTGGGAGTATCTTGCTACAAATAATTGGGCCTAACAGGAAATTGATAATGTCAGGAAATTTCAATGCAAATGATGCGACAGCTATCAAATTAGTTAATGTTTTAGAATCATATGGTTTACAACAAATGAGTTTTACTAATACAGGGTGTTCACGAAAAATAGATACTCTAACTTCGTAAGCTTATAAAGACGTGAAATAAAACATTGGGAAATGCGAATCGCGGCTACAGCAACACTGTACCTTCATAAACGTGTGCCGCAAGTTTCGAAGCAAACGGTAACAGTGTCGTCAGTATATGAGTTAAGGCGGTCATGGTAGGCACCATGGATTTATCTGCAGCCGAAGCGAGTTTCATTGTGGAACATTATTTTCGATCGAGTTCGTTCAAAATCGTGCGGGAACGGTTTCAGGAGAAGTTCGGTGATCAACAAAGCTAACACAACGATAAAGCGAGTGGTCAACCGTTTTCAGAATGAACATACACTGGTGAGACGAAAGGGGAGTGGCTGTCAGCACAGTGTAAAAACGCCAGAAAAGATCACGTAGCCCAGCTCTGTCGTCTCCAGATTTTTATTTATGAGGCTACATCAAAGACAGGGTTTTCCAGAACCCACCCACGTCAATCCCAACCCTACAGAGGCTATTAACGCAATAACACCAGCAGTCTTACATAAAGTATTCCGCAATATGCAGAGAAGGGTAGGAGCCTGTCTTGGAGCGGATGGTGGACACTTCAAGCAAATACTTTAGGTGTTATCTTCCATATTTTTAAGTATTTTTTTGTAACTTTTTATAATAAATTGTGCGAGTTTGTAATCAGAGTATCTATTTTTCTTGAACACCCTGTACTACAAACCATCACCGCCTTCATTAACATCTTTTCAAATAATATACCAAATTTGTTTGCAGATATAAGAGACTTGGGTATCCCAGATCACCTTAGAATAACATTCAGCTATGAAATAGATAAATCGTCAAATACCTAATGACAGAATTAATTTTAGACTTGTTACACCTATTGGCTTATTCCAGTTCTACAATTTAATTGAGAATGTATATTGGAACTATATTGTTGCTGACATATGTTGTGCAGCAAGGTTTAATACTTTACAGGAAATAATAACAGACAGCTAAAGAGAAGAGCTTTGATTTACCCAAGCCTTCACCAAATGAGAGTTATGCTGAATTTACTCAACAATATGAACCAAACAAATCCTGAATTAGTATTGCACTCTAAAGTTATGAACTAAAAAAGTCAGTATAGAAAGGAAATGAACTAGCCAAGGAAACACCATAATGACAAACATGAATCTCATAGTAAACAAAATGCTATGTTGGAAATTAAAAGTAACAATCAGAATAAAACTGATAAAAGTCATACATCACTCACTTCCAGTGATCTGCATTTAATTAATATTTATCTAAATTGTTACAATTTTTTTTAATATTTGCTAAATAAATAAATTATTCAATCTTTAAAAACAAAAATTTTACTACATCGCAACACAACTTTTGATCCAAGAAATCAACATCATCAGACTATGGGAAAGGAGGTCAAATATGTATATCCTAGACTGATTAAAAAATCATATGCCTTCTATGATTTCTACAAAGCATTCGACTGTGTTTCACATGGCATATTACTCAATAAGTTAGAAGCACATGGTTTCAGCACAAGCAGTATCAAGCTCACTAATTTGTATCTCACAGATAGGCAGCAATATGAATGGGAATATGTCTGCACTAAACTTCATTATTATGGTGTTGCTCAGGGCTCTATAGCAGGTTGCACATTATTTTAAATATACATAAGTGATTACTGTGATCCTCATTAAAAATTTATTCTGATACAACCAAAATAACCCAATCACATAACACAGCACAATTATTGTGATGCTTGATAAATTGATTAAACTGGCAACAAAAAAAAGCAGTACCCCAAAAGCTCATATTAATAGGAATGTCAAATTTCTTGGTATCCATCTTGAAACACAAACGACATGGGAACATCATGCATATGAACTATGAAGAAAATTAAGCAAAATTATATTTTGTAATAAGGAATTTATTTCAAATGGTGAGCCACTCGATGCTGCTAACCAGCTTCTATAGGTAATTTCATTCCAACATGAGCTATGCTGTATTAAATTGGGGTCAAGCATCCCATGCCAAACATGTTTTTGGACTTCAAAGAATGCATCAGAGTTGTTGTAAGACTGGGGTTCATGCGGTCTTGTAGGGGAACTTTCGCATCATTAGGTATTCTGACAATTCCATGTGTATTTATTCTGGCCTAACTTGGTTAGACTAAGCAAACTAAGCAGAATAAATCACAATATGGAAAAAATGCAGATTTCCAGTTAATAAAAGAAACAAAGAAAATTTCCATTTGAAGAATCTGAGACTGACAACATCTATAAATGCACACAATTACTTCAGCATAGTTTTTTCAATGTGCTATCAAATAACACAAGGGTATTAGAATCCAGCATATTTATGCAAGCAATTAAATAGTATAACAGTTAGCAATAATGCTTTTTCTTCATTCAAGGCATACCTCAACAGTAATTTTAGTGATCTAATGTCTATTGTTTTAATGTGTAATTGTGACTGTTGATGTTTAACTGATCTCTATACCCTTTTTACATACTCATTTAAAGCATCTGTTGGCATTTTAGATATCTATATAATAATTCTTGACTTGCATAAACACACTTTGTGTAAGATGCCAACAAACTACTAGGACTACTTCAAGCCTAAGGTCAGTGACAATACAATTTGACCAAATGAACTTGAACATACTTGTGACCTTGACAACATCCAGTTTATATTAGTTGAGAAAGCTTAAGAATTACTGGTACAAGGTGGTTTACATGAGGATGACACCTTTCCTATAAAAATGTCCAACTTCAAAATTCTAATATAAAGGAGTGTGTATGAATTTTGAATTTTGAAATTTGGAGCACAGAGATTCTAATGTGACAAGCTATTCAACTTTACAACATTATTATGAGATTGGGTAACAGGAATGTACAAAAATGTTTTACAACTGAAGAGAATTTATCCAAAATGGTTATACAGGTGCGCCGCTTGTGGAAATGGTGGTTTTTGATGAAATGAGGAAAATTCATCAGCAAACAGTTTTACGAGTTTCTGTACGTAAATTTCAAACTTCTTTTACAACTTTAAATCAGGTAAAACAAGTACCATCATCAAGTTTCTAACGAGAATCGCGACCAAACTATAAGTTAACGTGCAAAATAACATTTGAAAACGGCCATCTATAACTTATTTATTCGAATTGTAATACAGATAATTTCTTACCTTTTAAAATACTTCACTCACAACTTCCAAATTCCAAAATGAACACATAATACACATAACCTCAACACGAGTCAGTCAAAGCGCAATTATCAAAGACGTGACCACTTCAGTTGATCAAATCGAAATGCTCAGCTCCAACTACCTGGACAGTCGTGTAGTTTGCTATTTCAAGGAAATATGCTTTATACAATATGTTTCTTTGAGTTTTGTTCTAAATAAAGAATCCTGAGCGTTTTAGAACGAAATTAAACTGGAAATTTTCAAACTTACCGCTTCTCTAGATGGAGCAGGGATGTCGTAGCACTGAAAACATTCAACGACTACGGCTTTCCCGTCTTCGGTTAGTCTCAAATCGCACTTTTTACACTGTAGTTCAGGTTGTGGGATGCCGCTAGAACTGAAGATAATCTCGTGTGGGGGCGGAACTACCGGCACTGATGGGCAAAATTGATACGGGTCCTGCGAAATAATTTTTTGAAGGATTGATACGTTCAAAATAATAACGATAACATAATGACACCTGTCATATACAATATCAAGTGGACAAGTGGTGCCAATCTAAATCTAAATTCTAGTGACATAAGAATGTAGCCAAACCTAAAATATATGTATTCCAGTATCCAGTATCATTTGCCATTATCTGTGCTGAAATTGCTCTAATTCAAAACTGTGTATGTATTTCGTGCATTAAATTACTGCGCTGCTGCGAGTGGAGCTCAACAGAAACAATATTTCTATAATGGTACTCTACCAGTACCAGTAAGGTTGACTGCCATGAAAAATCGTAGTAATGTCTCTGGTGCCAACTTCAAAAAAGTGAAGCTTCTTGCATCAGATGCTATACTGTGATTACTTTCAGTTATATTTTTTATTAGCATACATATTGGCAAAAATAAGTCAGCGGTCGTATACGCCCGCCGCGGCATAACTGACAATCAAATCCAAGCGAATAACCAAAATTTCTGAGTTATGTACCGCGGTTATAATATAGTTTAAGATGGCCCACGGGTTGATGACGTCAGTTACTGGAATCGCTTGACCGTGTTGGTTTTAACCGCGGTTTTGTTGCAAGTTGTTTATTTTAGAAAAGCGCGTATATAATTTCTGATTATTTTTATTATCACTTAAATAATCGGTGCTGTTTCGTCTACAACAGTGTATGGAAAAAAGAAACCTAGAAATTAATGGAAGAAAGTTTTTTTTTCAGAATTTTTTTTTACCGATGGAACCATGGCTTTGGAGCTGTGATAACTTGCAATTCTCTAAACTTTTCCACATGTTAAGCAAAACATTTATTGATTTAGCGATGAAAAAAGATATTAGCAAAACCGCGTATACAGGTGGACAATATCCAGTGAGTTTAATATGGCCATATTTTAATATTCTTGTGGTATATGGCTACACATGATACTTTGTTAAGCATAGGAACTAGATTTAAAGTGTTCCCAACAACAGTAATAAGTATATCTAGTAAGGTGCCTACTTTATGCTACAATTGAAGTCACCCTGTATCAAGTTTCTCAAAAATGAAGCTGAAGTACACCAAAAATATCCAATACTCGCCAAAATTCTAACTTGTCACATTTCAAATAATAACCAGAAATATAAAACTACTCCGGAGTTGGGTAAATACCACAATTTTACGGTGATAACTATGACATATAACTGATTCATAACGTCACGGATCTTATAACCAAACTAATAACCACACTCACTTGAACGGATCGGTAAATACCAATCCAAAATGATACCATTTTCATTTGGTTATTGGCTTGAATTTGATTATTATGTGCCAAGCGGTCGACCTAGCGGTTCTTTTGCGAGTTTGAGCTTGTAAACTTCGGATCAGAAACATGAAATAAAAATGCTTTGCAATTAGGTTAGTTTGTTTTTGTCGATCGTAGCGTTCAGTGGAACTCGAAAATAACGGAGTTCCGGGAGAAACTGGTATTATCATTTCTGAATTACACCAATCTACCGGAATCCCAACCACAGCAGACCCCTATAGCCTCAAAAAGACATAATTCTATATCGAAGAAAATAGGCGCCTTCAATAAAGTGAAATAATACTGCAGAGGTTGCTATGGTAAAAAAGTGCAAGGGAAAATTCTAAAAAGCAGGGTAAAAGATCGTTACTTAGGCCCGTATCGTCAGTCGTACAATTGTAGGGCGTGTTTATGGCCTCCTTGATTGTCATACTTCTTTCTCTCCTTCAAAAATTTCTAGATTACACTTGTCCCGTGTCGGCGTCAGCGCTCTCCTATTGTGAAGATATGTTTTCTTTTTAAATTGTAGGAAATTTCAGGCTGATAAAACATGATATAACTCAAAAGCAAGCACATTTTGATGCAAATAGATGTTTGTGACATAACCTCAAAATAGAGCGCTGACACGGAGAAGTAGAAAACTATGACAATCAAGGAGGCCATAAAGGCGCCCTACAAATGTAGGGACGACTGACGATACGGGCCTTAATGTACATCATGCGAAGGGGAACCTCACTTTTGTTTAGACTGTTTCAACCTACACTTATTAAAATAAAATTCAGCCACCTTATGTAAATCGAGATATTCAGTACCCTTGTTTTGTACTAAATCCCCCGGGGTTGTATATGTTTATATATATATATACAGGGTGACTTTGAAGTTGAGTCATTAATTTTCAGATAATGATTGTAGAAGGAAGATAAACCAAAATATGTGTGTAAAAATAAAAAAAAATTAAAAAAAAATGTTTACCTTGTTTTATAAAGTATCCTCCCGACAAGTATTTCAGTGCGGACCTGTATTTGATCGTGAGGTCCCTGTGAGGTCTTAAGTCACCCGATTCACGAGCCCGTTGTACTACATTAACAAAGACACGAGGGGTTGGTTGCACTCGATTGGGAAACCGATCCGCATAAACATGTGCCATTTTTTATTTCGTTTGAGCCACGCAACAGACACTATTCACACGCGTTACCGACAATGACAGTATGTATAACTGAACTGAATAAAATAATTGTAAAAACATCGTTCCAAATTCTTTCGCTTTTTTGTTTCCGATGCGATGAACCGATAAGGCGGATTATATCCGTTGTTGCCAAACACGAGCACATGATATTATTATTGAGACAGGGCGGTACTCAAACTTCCAAAGGGCTATAACTTTGTTACTTTAATTTTACCAGAAAAATGGTAAAGGAAAAAACATTTCATTTGATCAGATCTACTCACTGTTAAAATAAATGACTCAACTTCGAAGTCACCCTGTATATATATATATTCATCGCATCGGAAACAAAAAAGCGAAAGAACCCCTCGTGCCTTTGTTAATGTAGTACAACGGGCTCGTGAATCAGGTGACTTGAAGACCTCACAGGGGACCTCACGATCAAATACAGGTCCGCACTGAAATACTTGTCGGGAGGATACTTTATAAAACAAGGTAAAATTTTTTTTTTAATTTTTTTTTATTTTTACACACATATTCTGGTTTATCTTCCTTCTACAATCATTATCTGAAAATTAATGACTCAACTTCAAAGTCATATATATATCAATAAAAGTTAAAAAACGACTTCAGACATTATTTTTACTTTCCCTTGTAAGCTACACCGAAAACCGCTAACTTGAGCTAGGTGTGCATGCCACAGCGGTCTTTTGTCATGTCATAATAATTATTAATTTATGCCTATCAACGCCCTCAGGCACAGCATGCATAAATGAATTTTGAAGGCAAGTGTGGAGCGGTAGCATACCACCGCAACGGCATGGTGGGATTATTTGCAGGCGGTCGTATGCGACCGCCATGGCATTCAACCTGATAAGACTAACGATACATCGATGTTCGGCTTCAGATTAAAAAAAGATCGCAATAAAAATAACATTTTCTCCCAACACATTACAGGAGCTGAGGCTGACAGGGGGGCGCAACATTTTTAATTTTCTAGCATTCAGGCTTCGAACATTGCACTGAGTAGGTATCCACCGGCATCTCTAACGCGCTAAATTCAAAATTATATACATGGAGAATCAAATTTGTCTGCTTGAGTTCTGTGGCTTGATTTCAATGTGTACGAGAGAGAGACGCAGAAGGTCGTGAAAGCTGCCGCGTCGCCAATATGTTACACCAGTTCCTTGAATTCAGAAGCACAATTATTGAAAGTAAGTTTATTCTTTACCCCGAAATAATGCTTTTATTTTGAGCGTACACATTTTTGAATTGTAAATTGTGTCGAATCTGTTTAGGACTGATTCCCGATCGGTCCTAACGGCGCTCCAATTTAGGTCGAAATGAAAGGTCAGGATCGCCACAAATTCTGCAACATTGCATCATTGGTTCATTTGATAACATACGGCGTCTTGTACACTTCAAGGCAAGGTTTACACCTCCATGATGATGGTTGAGCGATTTTTATTGACCAGTACCCATCTAGCGCTCGTATTAGGGGAGTGTTGTCCTGCTTCGAAATGGCTTTCACCTGCGTGAACGCGGACAGTCATAATTTGTTACCGTGTTGATATTATCATCATCGGCAGAAATCAAAGTTGATTCTAAAAGAAATTAGAACACTCATGTTGCATTAAAATTGAAATAATTTAATAAATCTAGTCCAAATTAAATCAAAATATTGAATTAAATGTTGGAACAGACCTCCTTCTTGGGTTTGGCAGTAACGTAACCTATTGTAGAAGCCTGTGCGAACATTTTCGGGTATGCTACAGGGTCCGGCAATGAAACGGGAAGGCTTAAAAAAGTTATCACAAACTAAGGTATAAAAAGCATCCCACAAACCGGCGCGAAATATTCGCTTTGGCTGCGAAAATTTCGCGGCGATGAATTCGCGATCAGATTAAAACGCGGCGGTTTACGGACAGGCTCAGACTTGTGCGAAGCGAATGCGATTGTTCCAGCGTTTTTATCGCGGCGTATTTCAGTTCGCCTTTGACCGCGTTTTTGACGCCGTTCTTCAAAAATTCGCAATGGCAAAAACGGAATTATTGATAGGAATAGTGAAAAAGTATCCTTGTTTGTATGATTTGTCGAACGATGAATACAGGAATGTGAGAAAGAAAGACAAGATTTGGATGGAAATAGGAAAAGAATTAAATACAAATGGTATGTACCTAATATTTTTTATTAACTTGTTAAATAATTTACAGTCTACACAAATGTGAAAACGAACATTCTATATATTGGGCATAGGCATATCAGAATTAAAATAATTTACGAATTTGTCACGAGTAGAAAATGCTAGCCTTGCTGCCCGCCGAGGATCATTTGCTATATCAGTAAAAGCTCCAAGCACGTGTTCTGGGGGATCTAAGAATTGAAAATATTTGACATCGCCACTTTTACTTCGTAAAAAATTGTGTAAAACACGTACAATTAGAATAGCAGTATCTACTTTAGTTTCTAATGGCCTGTAAAATATTCGCCATTTTTGAGACAAAATACCAAACGCATTTTCCACGACCCTTCTAGCTCGACAAAGTCTTACATTGTATTTCTCTTTTCTGACGTCTGTTAAAGTCAGCTTATAAGGAAATGGTCTCTTAAGGTATGGTTTTAAAGCAAATGCTTCATCATCAATTAAGACGTACGAGCAGATTTCATTTTGCCCAGGGAGAAATCTAGGTGCAGGGACACTCGATAAATTTTGTTCAAATCGTTTTCCCATGTTTGAGGTTTCGAAAATACCCCCATCACTATTTTTTCCGAAACCACCAATATCAACACATATAAATTTATAGTCCGGGCCAACAATGGCCATAAGTACTATTGAATATTTATGTAAATAGCACCAGTAATTGGAGCCACTGTTGTTAGGTCTCTTGACTGTTACATGTTTACCGTCCACGCTGCCAATGCAATTGGGAAATCCCCATCTATTTTCAAATTCTTCAGCACATTTTTTCCATATATTCTCTGTTGGTTCTGGTAAATATATATGCTCCATATGTCTGCATATCGCTTCACAGACTTCGGTTACGATTGCACTCACTGTTGTAAAGCCAACTCGAAAGCTATGCCCAATGGTATAGAAGGTGTCACCAGTGGCAAGGAATCTATAAAAAAATCGTTTTTAGGTGATGAAGTAAAAAAAAGGTGGAAGAATATCAGAGACACATTTGCAAAATATATAAAATCTACCAAACCAAAGACCGGCCAAGCAGTGGGCAACATAAAAAAATGGCAGTGGGCTGACTACATGGAATTTTTCCGTCCTTTTTTGGCATTTGCCAAAACGTCGTCTAATGTGAAAGATATTGACGTCATACATTATGAGACTGCCGAATTTAACTCAAATATATATCAGGAAAGGGCTGAAAATGTAGAAACCGAAATTTTGGAAGACCGCGGCCATGGAGAAGATGAAAATGCTGATGTAGATGCAGCAGATGCACAGAACGCCTCGGCAACACAGACAGCACCACCTTCTTCATTGAACACTACAGCAGTGACTACTCCAGGGCACACCTTTCCGCAGACTGCAACTACACCAAAATATAAAACGAGCAGAAAACGCTATGAACCACCATCTTCGTCTGTACAACAGCTCATTAATTATTTTGAAGGTAAAAAACCTAAAAAAGAGAACGAGGCCATTGATTCACTTTTCTTGGCACATGCACAGACTGTGAAAACACTTCTCTTAAAGCGTCAAGCCCGAATAAAACTAAAAATAGCCGAATTAATAGCGCACGAAGAATTTGAACATATTGAAGAAATGTCTTCAGCGTCTACCCAGAATTCTGCAAGTATGTATGATAGTAGTATGTCGTCCTTCCCAAGCGGCACTGGGTTTACTCCAATAATATACCCAACAGAGGAGGCAAATTCTGCCTCGAATTATTTAGCAACATTTAATCCTAGTGGCAACATGTAGTCCAATTATTACAATAAAATATTTATTTCACGATCCCTGAAGTTTTCGTATTCGATAAGCCTACTAATTTTAATATTATATACATATAATTTTTTTACCTGAGTGTAATAGCAAGTCGTTCTTCTGGCGAAATAGCTTCACGATAATTTGTGTCAGATTTTCGTATTTCATCTTTCACCAAGTTCAATATTTCATCGAAACACTCTGGAGTCATTCTAAAATATACGTAAAAGCGCTGTTCATCCAGCCGAAGTTGTGGCATCAAGGTATGGTATTCCCCAAATTTAGTTCGTTCCAAGTTAATATCATGTACTCACTTCCTTCGTTTCCTAAACAAAATTGAAAATATTTGTTTTATGTACTTCGTTAAACTTAATACATACCCAACTATCAAATGGCGTTAAATAAACATAACTTACCGTGCATTTTGTTCCTCTTCTAAAGCAATAAATAGAAGTGCCTCCTCTTCTTCTGAAGACGAGCTCATTGCAAAAGGCAAAAATAAAATGTAGGCAACCTGTCGAAACCTTCACGTTCGTGGAGCGAATAAGACGCTTTGGTATGAATAAACAGGCGAAACAGATTGCGAATTTCGCTCTGAATTTCGTTGCGAATACTTCGCCGCGATTATTTCGCGCCGGTTTGTGGGATGCTTTACAATTTATTAATTAATTTAACAAAATTGCTATGTACATTATTGTTTAGTGTTGTAGCTTAAATCGTTATTTTTTCTTGAAAATTGTATCAGCTAGATGTCGCCCTTGGTTCATTACATATTCTCGGAGTCTGTTGCAGAACGAACCCATAACTCTACGTAGCATATCCAATGGAATATTGTCGATTTCTTGACGAATTCGGGTTTTCAAATCTTCCTTATTTCTTGGTGGGTTTATCTGGAAAACCTTTGATTTTAAATACCACCAGAGCAAATAGTCAGGAGCGGTCAAGTCCGGAGAACGGGCAGGCCAGGAAATAGAATATCGCCGTATGTGTAAGAAACCAATGGCGACATCTAGCTGATACAATTTTCAAGATATAAGATATATATATATATAGAAATAAACATTTAAGCTACATCACTAAATTCCACTAGTGTACATTGCATTTTGTTAAATGAATTAATAAATTGTCATACCTTAGTTTGTGATAACTTTTTTAGATCTTCCCGTTTCACTGACGTACCCTGTATATCGGCAACGCGGCAGATTGCACAGGATTCAGCCGGATTCTATCTCTTTCTAACAGATTGAACTCAGGCCGTCTGACAGATTTGGTTTTCCCTGCAGATTTCTAGCTAACAAAAATATTTTTATCTCGCCACTACTGGGTGAAGCAAAACGAAACATCTGCTGACTATTTTTCTAAGTTTATGTGTATGTGGTTAGTAAAGAATTCTTGCAGATTTCTAGGTACCTAGGTTTTATCGATCTTTCCTCGTTTTTGGACTAAAATTTTGTGGGAAATATAGAACAACCTAGCGACACAAACGGTACAGTATTTCAACATTTCAAGAAACATTTGGTAAGTGACATTGTACTTCTGAAACTTAAATGTGATGTCTTGTAAACCTTGCATAAAGAAACTTTAGTTGCAACTGTACTTACGATATTAGCGTTAAAAGATGCGTATTTTAAGATTCAACGCTCTGGGCCTGCTGAGGAAGATTTGCCGCCCCAAATAGAAACGGAAAAAAGCTAAAACTTTTGATTGAGGCGGCTTGAACCACCCCCGCAGCCTGCCGCCCAGGGCATTGGCGCTTGTAGCCCTAAGGTAAAAGTACGTCCCTGAGCATATACAATATGTTGATACTTGGTTCACACTTACCATTAAAGATCCGTTTGTAGGATCCAATGGGCATTTACCCTCCAGGGCATTCAAATCTTTACCCTCGACACAGTGTACTTTGTTAGTATGATTATCTAGATCGTTAACATTTATCTGTTGCTCATAGCCAAATGGGAACTTGCAATTGCTGGGAACATTGTATGTACCATTGGGCGGAGGCTCTAAATTGGATCATCATCGATTAAAAGTATGAAAATTCAGATAATGCAACCTAAAAATTGCCACGCGGAACTACCATTGTTTCGGATGATACGAATATATCGGTATAAATAAATTGTGAAAAATAAACGTATGCCTGCAGAGGTATTACGTAGCTTTAAAAATGACATTATGTAGGTTTTTAAATGACGTCAACTTGGTACTAGCTGTCGTTCACTTCATGCTCACTTGTAGCAAGCGCGGAATGAACTATTTACACACTAGCGTACTTAGTCAACAAGTTGACATTTTATCGTTTTTACATTATATAAGTTTTTTATGTAATAACCCGGTCTGGATGGCATTCGAACCTCAAGGGCCGTAAATCCATACCATTGGATTAACGAATTCTACCAGAATATAGCCAAACTAATGCTATATTCCCGCGTCCAAAAAATATCTAAGACAAATTGAGATACCGTAGCATTATGTATGAGAATTTTGTCACAGCTCTTTCTCTATTTACTGTATATACTTTGAAAAGGTTGGTGTCTCATAGTTTGCGCTGCAGCTACCTGTATGCTTGCATATGCTCTTACAGACGGCACCATCTATGAGACAATAACCTTCTCAAAGTATATATAGTAAACATAGAAACAGTTTGTGACAAATTCTCATAGATGATGCTACGGTATCTCATTTTACCTTTTTTTTACACCGAAGCAGGCAGAAGCCTAAATGCCAGGACACCGCGGCTGCTATGAGGATCCCAAAAAACTTTGCTAATCTGATTTTTGAACTGCCTAAGGTTAGTAGAACTGGGAAAAGCTTCCTCTTGTAGATTAATCTACAATCTCGACTTGTAGGCACATCGTGCGGCGGCATCATGGAGGTCAGCTCTGAGGAGTAAAGCTTGTTGATGTAGCGGTCGAAAAGAGCTAGATCGCCAGCGGCCCGCCGATGGAAAGGATCCCGAGACTGTCTGTTAGGGAAGAGTCATCGATCAGTCGGACAGCTTGGAGCACGGATAATGTTGTCTGGGCGGCAGCACACCAAACATGTGGCCAACACTCGAGGCTAGGTCTTATCTGAGCCTTGTATAGAGTGAAGAGGTCATGTGCTTCTAGAGACGAGATGTGTTCGTGCCAGATCAAGTCCTCGGTGATCTGGACTTCGACCAGCCGAAATGAACAACTCTGCGGCAGAATTCGGTCATCCATCGAAACCGGATGAGCGCTAGGATATACTTATTTTTGTTCGTCAACGTACAGTACTGTGTTTTGGAAGCATTAAGCTGTACAAGATTGTTTCGTCCCCAAGTAGTGATAACCTCCACGCCTCTCGTCAGACAGAAAGTCGCTGCTAGTCTTCTTCTTTCCAGCTCACCGGCAGAAATCGGCTGGCCGCTCTGAATTCCTGTATGTAGAGTGCTGTCATCAGCAAAGCTGTGAAATGGATTGATCGCGCAGAAAAGGAAGTCGTTGAATTGCAAGAGGAACAGTGTCGGGGCCAAAACCGATCCGTGGGGAACACCCGCGTTGACGTTGTGGGATGAAGAGGAGAACCCCTCAACTACGACAGATATCTTGCGGCCAGAGAGAAAGTCAGTCACCCATCTGCAAAGCTTCTCTGGGGGGCCCTAGGATGAAAGTTTGCATAAGAGGGCAGCGTGCCACAGCTGATCGAACGCTTTCGTGATAGCAAAAGCAACGACATGAACCTCACCACAAGAGTGGATGAGTTTACTCCACAATTGCGGGACGTGAGCAAGGAGGTCCCCTGTGGATTGCTGGTGCCGGAAACCATACTGTCTGTTGCTGATGAAGCCGTGGCGTTCGAGGTAGTCCAGAAACTCGCGATTTATGCACCTCTCTATCACCTTACTTATAACAGAAAGCAGAGCTACCGACCTGCAGTTGTAAGGGTCGGTCTTAGATCCTTTTTTGGGATGGGTGGGACATGAGCAAATTTCCAGTTTTCTGCGAAGCTGCCGGATTCGTTAGATATCTGGAAGAGACACGAAAGAACTGGAGTAAGCTCCGCTACATACCTCTTCAATACAACGGCAGACATCAAGTCCGGAGCAGAAGCTTTGTTGATGTCGAGCGACAAGAGCACCCCTCTTACGGTCTTATGGCTGAATGTTACTTCCCACATAGTGTAGAGAATCGTTCGAATCGAAGGCACTCGGGCGTTGGGGGACGTCCATGGTCGAGTTGTCAGCAAAGATCTTGACAAGCACTTTCGCCTTTAGCCTTTGAGTCGGTTACAATCGTTGCATTCTGAGTCGTAAGTGGTAGAATGCTACTCTGTGAGATGTTCCTTTCAATCTGCTTGGCCAGCGTCTAGAAAGACCGACTGCCATTACGCTGCGACATTATCCTATGCCTAACTGTTTTATTGTGCTGGTCTTTGGCATTGCGGACCGCTTCGTTATATTTGTTTATAGACACGACGTCGGCTTGTCTGTCCTCCACAGTGCGGTTTTGTAAGAAGGTTCTGTGTGCCGTGACCTTCTGCTGACGAACAGAGTTGCACAATTTATTGAACCAGCCGATGGACCCTAGGCTTAACTATATGAGGGATGTATTCCTCCATTCCAACGCGGATAATTTCTGTTATCAATGAATAGACAGCCGTAAGCGAAACAAACATGTCTTCAAGGAAAGGTGGAGAAGAAGTCTCTAAGCCACTCTCAGTCGGCATGTTCGTAATGCCAAATTTTGCATTCTGGTCGAATTTCTGCTGCCACAGCGGCTGCTGACCGAAACCTAACCTCCAGAACACAGTGGTCTGCGTTACCCAGGGGAGACAGGACAGCAGTGCTGTAAGGGACAGGATGCGTAGCTAAAAAGACATCCGGCAGGCTTCTGGCATGTGACGAAACGCGGGGGAAAACTTTAGGGTTTGTTACCAGCTGGGACAGTCCTTTAGTAATAGCGAACGCTTCAACTGCACGACCTGCTGCATCCGTCTTGTTTGAGCCCAACCAAAGCTCATTATAGGCAATGAAGTCACCGAGGAGAACTACCTCTGAAGAGGGGTGATTGCTGTTCAGGAAGTCTTGAGGGCGAGGTATTCAAGTAGGTCATCCCAGTTATGGTCCGAGGGAGAGCGATAAAGGCAGCAAATAAATTTGGGAGATGTTCTGGAGTTGAGGCGAAGCCACAGAATGTCCTTCTGGCCTGATTCCAAAAAACATCCCTGGAGCAGGAAAGACTGCTGCGGACAAAAGGCACAACTCCCCCGCTCTTTCTCAGATTGGAGTGCATCTCGTAATTTGGGAAGCTAAGATGGTTAATCGGAGCACATTCTGAGATTTTTGACTCTGCCAAGAAAAGCCTAGCGGGACAATTAGATTGCAGGTAGTGATGGACCTTATCAATGTTGCTGTTAATCCCGCAGATGTTCCTGAAACAAATTTCATCATCGATGTTGTTTCCTCGAGTCCACCCTCGACCCGGAAATTCAGAGAATGGAGTGAGTTTCTTTGTTGGGGAGGATAATCGAATGCGTAGCTTAGGTGGGGAAGCATGCGGACATTCATAAGACACCCTGGAAAAAGCTAGCGGTTGGTAACGCCTCGGTTGATTGGTCCTTTGTCTATCGCCTTCTTTTTGCGTGTTAATGATGTTAAATAGACCTAAAAGAGGCCCGTTGGCGAACTTGTACCGCCACCCGGCAATTGATACTAAGGTATTCCTTAACGCGTGTACAATCAGTTGAACGGGAAGAAGTTGTATACAACATCTACCGGAATAAGCATTTGCAACGGCCTCGCTCAATAGGGAACAAATTTCGGATAACTATTTGGATGTCAGGATATAGTATTAGTAGGTTGGCTTTCTTTTAGTAGAATACGTAAGTTGATGTCTATACCAAACGCGAGTATCAATTACGATACGGCACCAAGCACTATGTATAATATTTTACAGTCTATTATATTTACAAATATTTTGTTATAAGGGCACCTTGTTTCTGTTTGTATGTAATTTGGACTGTAGAGACTTCAACAGGCTGGACTGATGTAAAAACTATAATTCCAGCATATTGGGAAGTATGTCAGTGTCATCATAGTAGTTGCCAAAAAATTACCAACCCTTGTTCCCTTCCCTAAAAATCGATTTTTGTAATAAAACAGGTGATTCATTGAGAAGTACTATTTTAAAGAGAAAAATAAAAACAACTGACTTATTTTTTTGAAATATCAGCTGTATCTGTAATCAGTATGTGGTCTATTCCGCAATTCCTATTTTTGATGACACACCTCTTCAAATACACGGATGCATCATTGGAACTGCAAAATGGACCACGTCACATACATCTGAAAAAATAATATTGCAAAAAGGAATATCATGGATGCTTCTTTTGGTTAATATAATAAAGATAATCTGACAAAGTCGTTTGATTTTTGTTTATTTTTTGTGTTTTTAGAAAGAAATTGACACATTATAATACCACATACCATTAGAGTCTGGTGCCGTGAAAGTTAAATTTAACCATTTTACCAGTCATTACTTTGAAATCAAGACGTCAGTCACTTAAAAATGATTACGTAAAATATTTCGTAGTAAAGGCGATTTATAAACTCGACGTTCGCGTTGCAGTTGGCGTTCAAGTTGAAAGTTGGTCTAACTGTATAACCATATAAATACAGGGTCCGCCAAAGGAACCTGATGAGTTTCAATATGAAACTACAAATGTATCTTTCAAGATATTTATTTTCATATATAAGTAATCAAAAGTGTATTACATGCCATTTTATGTATGGAAACTAACTTCGGTCAAATGATGTCCTTCACTGCGGACACACTCTTTCAAACGGTTTCGCACATTCCCCATTACGCGCTGTACCATACTCATCCGAATCGCGCTAATTTCATTGCGAACGTTTTCCTTCAATTCTTCAATGGTCCTTGGGCTCGTTAAATATACCTTGCTTTTGAGATAACTCCATAACCAATAGTCACAAGCCCTGAGATCGGGAGACCTTGCCGGCCAAGGAACATCTCCATTCCGCGAAATGACTCTTCCTGGAAACATTTCTCGCAGTCGAACCATTGTTGCTCGTGCTGTATGCGCTGTGGCGCCATCTTGCTGAAACCATACACCCATACAGTATTTAAATCTATGTTCCGTCGACGAAGCTCTGGTTCCAAGAATGTGTTTAACATTTCCAGATAACGTTGCGAATTGACCGTGACAGAATTTCCAGCATCGTCCTCAAAAAAATATTGTCCAATTATGCCGAATCGCGACACTCCGCACCAAACAGTAACCTTGCGACTATGAAGGGGTCGCTGGTGAAGTTCTCTCGGGTTTTCTGCACACTAGTAGCGAAAATTCTGCTTATTTACGTAGCCTGATAACTCGAAATGCGCCTCATCAGACATAATTAAGCCACCTAAAGCGTTTTCATCCAAAAGTTCCAGAAGCTGGTTGCTTGCAGTCAAACGGTTCACAAAGTCTTCAGCTGTCAGTTCTTGAACCATCGCTAATTTGTAAGGGTGATAATATAAATCCTTATGCAAAATACGCCGCACTGTTGTTTCTGAAAGCCTTAGACTAATTGCTTGTAGCCTAGCTGAACGACGTGGACTTTGCTGCACCGCTGTTCGCACCCTCTCAATATTGGCTGGAGTCCGAACTGTTCGACGCATTCCTGGTGGCTTAGCTTTTATTGCTGATGCAGATCGACGAAAATTTTTGACCCACAACTTAATTGTGTTACGGCATGGAACAGAACCATGACATCCGACATTGAAATGTGTACGAAATAGACGCTGTGTAATGATCACCGAGTCGTGATTTTTAAAATACGTCTCGACAACAAATGCGCGATGTTCACTTGTCCACAGCTCCATGACTACTGAAATGGCATCTACTACCGATGTCTTGCCCACTGTAACCGATGTTCTACGTCAAAAAACAGCTTCGTACTATCCATTCTGAAAACGTCAGGTGCCTTTGACGGACCCTGTATAAACTTTTCTCTTTATTCGTTCGACTTGGCCAAGTCTTGACTTTTGCAGTTGCAGTGATCCTTAAAATCTGAAAGTGGTCCACTTCCTGAATCCATTTCAGTTGGACTTTTACGAACATTTTCGCACAAATGCTAGTTATGAAAATCAAGATTATCAATTTTCATAGAATGATGTTAAAGACTAATCATATTAGACGAAAATTGGTGTACCCGTTTTATGCGTCCATGTTTTAAATACCCCATTGAAGAACTTGCATCAATAAAATCAGAGTTTACAATTATTTCGGGAAAAGCTAATATGATTAGACTATTATGTGTTCTGAGCTTCTAAGAATTAACAGTTGCAAATGAGAATTTAAAAATTACTGAACTGAACGACCAACTAGGTACAACGACCAATGGCGAGTTTATAAATCGGCCTTAAGTCAATGGTGCTAAAGTTAATTATAAAAATATGGGACTATTTTTTGAATAGTTACAAATATCCTATTTCCACTGCAGTGCTTACCTTGCGCGAACAACAAGTAGTTTACAACCAATAAATAGAATATGGTACGCTTTATCATTGTGAATTCCACTGAAAATTTTGATAGGGCTTCCAAAACAGAAAAAATAGGTTATGACTTGATGACACCTGACAAAAAATTCATATCATGGTAAACGCGTCTCTCTACAGGATGTGAAATAAATGCTAACGTTAAACTACAAATAATACTTTATTAAAAATTTATAAATTTCATATACATAACAATGTTCATGATTTCAAAAATATCAACTATAATACTCGACAAAAAATTAATTTACAATATTATGTATAAAAATATATTACGTTAATATGATCTAGTTAGAAAAATCACGAATATGTTTGCCAATATGACAAATATCTATGTTAAAAATCATGAGAGACAAGTTTCCTTAAAGTGACTAGTCAAAAAATCTGCCATTAAATTTGTCCTACATCAAGCATTCAATGTTTACAAGGAAAGCATAGTTCATCCCACTTATGATTCTCTCATAATTTGCTCCTATCGAAAAGCTTACCAACTATAACAATGTACGTATTTTCTCCTAATTTTTAAGTGGATCCAGGCTTTCCAAAGAAAAGTCGTCATTGCCGAAACTGATTCCACGGCTAAATCCAGTCTGAAAAAGAAAAAATTGTTCACTTTTAAACAAACAACACTAAGGAAAAAAGTTTAGAGACTCTCATGAACAATATAGAATGCAAAAATGTTTGTAAAAGTTTGTTTGTTTCAGATTCATTTAGCATTAATGCTATAATATCCATAATATCCATGTTACACAGTATATCACAAGATATAAATATATATATATATATATATATATATATATAACTTGAGACGTGGTCATTCTCGTTTAGACCAGTTAGGTAAAAATAAAGTCTCCGCCTTTTGTTGGGCACTCAAAGGGTACTCAAGGACAAAATTCAAGCAAAGAGGACTCTTTATACTTTATTAATCTCTAGCTTTCAATGGACTTTGCCATCTTCATCAGGAGCTGCAATATCATTGAGAAGAAATAGCAACTATTGTGCAAAATGATTTTAAATAACCTTACAGTCGTATGTGAGATTATTGCTAAATGTTATTAACGTTTAGGTTCAGGGAAACAACCAGTAACCTGGTGAATGCTGCATACATGGTACATTCCTTAAAATTAATCTAAACTACACATAGCTCTGTATGACAGTCACAAATTAAAACGTATTAAAACTATTTAAAACGAAAGTTAAAATTACATCGTGAACCACCTGATGCTGCACAAAATGGTATATGTATATATATATATATATATATTTCAAAGTTATTTCCGTGGGATAAAAGTTAGCTTATATGCTATTCCAGACTAGAAAATATCTGAGTACCAAACATCCAGATCCACTTAGCCATTTTGGCGTGATTGAGTAACAAACATGTGCACACTTTCTCATTTATAATGTCAGTAGGGATATATTTACCTTCATTTCCATAATTCTCTTGTCTAACAGTCCGATCGCATTTTCTATATCTTGTGGTGTAGCTGCAGTGCCAAAGTCTCCCATTTCAAAGGGGTCCAAAATTTTGCCACTGGTTATGCTGAAACATGATTATTTCTAGTTATAGTACAGCACAGTTTGGTGTACGGTGTCAGTATTTTCCCATTTCAAAATGATTAAACCGTCATTTTGAGTTGTAATCTGAAAGATACCTTGTAGGCGTTGTGACATCTGAACCAGTGTTAAAAGGATGTGTTCCAAAGATATCCTGACTTGCTTTTGACGTTTCATTGACGGACAAACTCATGTTTCCACGTCGAGGGGCTTTGGGAGGTGGTGCAACTAAAGAAAAGAAAAAAATGGAATGTAGTTTATTTCTTAAGCTAGGGTGTCCCAGAAGACGACGTCAAGACGGAAACGGGAGATAGGTCATTATAGTTATCAGAAAAATATAAAAACCTAAGATGTGTACTTTTCAAATTATAGGCTTTGAAAAAAATCGGAAAAGTCTACACCCGGTAATGATCTTTTAGTTCGCATTACTACAAGTTTCGATTCTTTCTTATACGGAGTGATGGACAGTGTCATTCTACGTAGTGACAGCAAGACAGGAGTAACGTGACTTGTATTAATTCATGATTGTGTAGTTCCACCATGTCTGGGTACACCGTATAGGAATACGCCAACATTCACCTCATTTATGGGGAATGTAGATGCAATTCTAGTGCTGCAGCTATACCCTATTTCACGAGTATTCATCGCGGTAGAATGACAGGTGATTATCTAGTAATACATATCTCAAAATTCCCCATATCGACACATGACACATAATTCAACGCCAGGTAGACAGAGCCGAATTTTGTTTTGGTTTTTTGTACGCTACGGATTTATTTTGTAGTTGCTAACAGCTCTTTTATTTAGAAAAGTTCATTTGCTTACAAAAAGCAAAACGTCACAAATAAGTTTTACTAGATTTATACCCGATCCATTGTTGCAAACGTTACAGACTAACACAAAAATGTCAGTTATTGAACAGCTGTTCTTCTCAGTAGACGTCAAAGCGTGATGAATACTCGTGAAATAGGGTATAGGCTTTATCGTGAAAGGAACCCAAATGTTGCTTGTCATCCCGCACGGGTAAAATGTAGAAGACCTATAAAATGTCATCTTGCAAACTAGGTAGTTTTTAGGGTGCAAACAGTCATTCCACGTTTGCTCTCTAGGATCGTTGTGAGCATCCATGGAGGAATGACTCAACTACACGCATTGTTGCATATATTTTGTGAAGCCGAATAGTCTGTAGTTTTCATCTCTGAGAAGAAAGTTAGATGAATAGCATCTGGATGATTATGTGTATTGGTCTACATGTGTATAAAATCAGTGATATTTGCTATGTGCGAAAATCATTACTGAATAGGATGCCCATCAGGTATATCTATTAGCTGTGCCCGACCGGATATTTATATGTTGTCCTTTCTGAAGGTTATATTCAAAGTTATAAATTACGATTTTTTACGTTTTTTGTGTTTTCAAAAAGGAGGGAGGAGAATCACGAGAAATCACCACCGTGCCCGCGTTGTGTGTAATTACTGTTAGCATGTATATGACTTGTAATTCGACAGTGTACAGGGAATACAATTATTTCTTATTTCTCGCATTTTTGAAATCCAGCAAATTTGCATATGTAATTTCCAGAATGGATAATAAAAAGTGGATTCGCAACTAATATCTAGCTTTGAATCTCACTATTCACCTATGCAGCCGTTTCCTTCTCGCTATAATATACAACTTACAGCTTAGACTTCCAGTAATGCCATATCTAAAGCAGATTATACATCACATCAGAGCCAAACATTAATAACCGAAGCCTCATGACGTTTAGGCAACACGTTCAACTACAAAACGAGTTCACAACGTGTCCATTAGCGAGTGCTAAGTTAACATCTTGTAGAAAAATCTGCATAATGTCACAAAAAAACTAATACATTGTCAAAAAAAACGACATAATGTCAATTTTCAAGATACGTAATACCGGTGCGGAAAGATCCGCGATTTTTAGAGGAAATTTTATGGACTGATGAGTCGACATTAAAAAAGATGATTACATGAATCTACACAATTTTCAAGAGTGCAGGTAGAAAATCTACATTTGATGAGACAAGATAGATCACAGTATCGTTTTAAAGTAAACATGTGGACCGGGAAGCTAAATGGGACAATCATTGTACCCTTTGAGCTGCCAGAATTCTTGAATGGCGAAATTTATTTACCAAATACATTGAAAGACATGGGACTACGCATTTACAGAGACATGTGGTACCAGCAAGACGGCTGCCCGGCGCACTATATGCCCTTTCAGTTAGATAATTTGTAAATGCGGAATATACGAGCAGATGTATAGGGCGGTTTGGTACAATTTCGCGACCAGCCCGTTCACCTGACTTAAATCCACTCGTTTTTTTGTGGGAAGCTGTGAAAGAAAAGGTTTACTCAAAGCCAATCGAAAATTTAGCCACGGGACAGAATAACGGAAGCAGCTGAATTTGTTAGTAACGGAAGATTTGCAGTCTGATAACCCGATCATTTTTAAGATGCATTTGCTGGAAGAAGTTTGAACATACATTGTAAGATCAAATACATTCACGAATTAATAAAAGTGGTGTTAATAGCAGTCTTACTGTCACTACGTAGAATGACACTGTTCGTCACTCCATGCAAGAAAAAAATGAAATTTGTAGTAATAGGAATTCATCATCACAGGGTCATATACGTCAAAATGACGTGACGGGCGAACATCATTTTTGGTTGATTCCGCGCTTGAATATTTAATTAGCGCCGAAACTTAGCTGTTCTGTAAGAAGTTTTAGATGTATCAAGTCTGAGCAGGAGCCCCGCAACATATATGAGTGTCTCCCAAGGGGGCTAGCCCCCTGGAAAGAAAAGGAAGGAATCGGAGGATTCAATGAATGAAATTATTGAAGATAATTCCCAGGTCGGTAATGATAAAAAAATTGACTATGATCTACAATCAAGAATAATACAGGTAGAACTTCCAACAAAATTATCTCACAAAACAGCTGATCGAATGCTTTTAACATATAAGCAGACTGATAAGGGCCCCTATGATATTTATATCGAAAACAATAAACCAAATTTCTCAGGTAAATTAAATCCAGTTAAGGTTGGTGAAACTGTTCTCAAAAATATTCCTGAAGTCGACAATATGATTGAAAGAATTGAATCGATTGGACGCAATACGGTAAGGATTATGTTGAAAAATGCATCAGCAGCAAATGTCCTGTTAAATAAAACGATTTTATTCAAATCTATCAATTTAGACGTTTATATACCCAAATTCATTTTATATAGACAGGGTGTTATTTCGGTGGACAAAGACTTATCAGACGAATATTTGTTGGAAAGGATCAAAGATTTCGATTCTCACTGCATTTTCTCGGTGGATTCGGTTAAACGCATGCACCGGAAATCAGATCAAAATGGTGAGATTAAATATCTACCTATAAATAAGGTTGTAGTTATTTTTCAAGCGCAAGAATTGTCTAAGCGTGTCGCTACAAATCACGTTCTTTTTGATGTAAATCATTATATATAGTACATAAGGTAACTTTGTGTCATAACTGTATGCGTTATGGTCATTTGGGTAAGCAATGCAGAAGCAAGCCTAGGTGTGCAAAATGTCACGAAGAACATGTTACTAGCTCATGCCACAACGTCTCTTTAGAACAAAAATGTTTAATTTGCGGTGGCTGTCACTACTC